TGGGACCCTCCAGCAGTGTCTCCAAAGCCACAGACTAAGATGTTGGAGGACATCAAGACACTCATCAGGACAGCATCTACATAAAAATAAGTGGTCTAAAACCCCCCACATTTCTTCTAAAAGTGGCAGATGAAATGGCTTTCTTCAGGTTTAGGAGCCTATTTGCTTCATTATCCTTTCCCTTGTTCAGGATGACTTCCCCTAGCAGCAGATACGCAGATACACCTCTGGGTGTATCTGTGTTACAGCTGGAGCCACGGCACAGGGAAACGGGGCGATGAGTGATGGACTGCTTCCCTATCTTCATCGCTACATAAATCCCAAAATGGATCCAGCTGCCTGAACATCCAGCTTTCAAGGTGCATTTTGCAGCTTAAAAACTCTGTTAAAAGGGATATTTTGAGGTCTCACATTTAGTGTCCAATCTGCATCATTCAGATCCATAACAGATCACATCTGTGAACCTGAAGGTAATTTTTCCTAACAGCCCAGGACTGAAAACTCAAGTCTATATGCAGCTTCATTTAGATGGATAAAACTGTTCCTGCTGACTTCTGAGGGGGCTGGATGAAGGGCCCAGGGTAGAAGCCAGTCCATGTTCTTGCTGGCTGGTGTATCCACACACACACTCCCCTCGAAGAAAGAAGAAAAAAATACAGTTGTCACTTTTATTCACAGACCAGAATAAAATCCAATTTGCTTACCCATAGCTCTGTTGGCACTTGCACACTAAGCAGGGCTTAAAGCATTTTAAAACTCATAGTAATAAAAATAAGTAATGAAAAATATTCATAATATACCTAGAAAATATATGAGTAGTCTCAACCTGATGTAATTGAAAATGGATTTAGCAAGTTCAGGCTTGGAACGGTGACCTTATTTTGTGGATGCTTTAAGCTATTTGTACCGTTGAGTGCATTTTCAAAAACTCAGCCATCAGATTTCCTATATTTTGAATGATTTATGATCTTAGTTTGATTCCCCCGGCTGCGTTAGTGGGTGAGAACAGCCTGATTGTGTGAGTTAGAAGGCATAAAAGCTGCCTCTAGACTCCCCAGATTTTCACAATGGCAAATGGAGCAATAATGAAATCCCAGTTGGATCTTTCTGATGTTCTCTCTGTTATATCCTTCTCTCCTCAGTTAGTTTTAACTTTGATAACTCCATTTGTCTGGTAATTTGCATTGGTCTTTGCTTGTGATTGAATTATTTTGAAAAGCTAGAGTAAAATGAAACTTGCTCCCGCAGGAAAAAAAAAATACGACAGAATAGCTGTGGCCTGATTATCCCTTTTCTCAGCCAGTCAGCACCGTTGTAGGTGATTTAGTTGTTGGTGTTTGTCCTTGCGGCCAGTTTAGGTGTTGACTTCAAGTACCAAGTTTAAAGCCGGGGGGGTGTGTGTGAATAGGTAAAAGAAGGTTGCCTGCCGTTAATGTGCTCATCCAGATGAAAGTCACAAAGACTTGTCTAGATCTTAAAACTGATGGAAGCTTTATTTTGTTTAGTGAGATTTGTTGTGGAATCTCAATTTTTCTATTATCCTTCCTATCAAAAGGAGCTACCTAGGGCTGAAATGTCCCCAGATGAGTGGCTACAGGTTGAACCATACGATTGACGCTGCCACTCTAGTGTGACGCCTGCCAGCTCATTTGGACCATTTGTATCTCTTGTATCCAGGAGCTTTCAGCAAAAAGCAGGTTTCTGGAAGTCTTATCCATTCTTTGGTGAGCACAGACACTTCTGCTTTCAGAAAAAGCTTGCTTTTCTCTGACTTTCCTGATAAGGCTGCTGCTGGAGCATAGTATCTCCATCAGCTCTTATCACAGCACTTGCTGACAGGTGGACCTGATGTCGGTAATGTTGTGGTCAATTCTCCCTGTCCAGGATTTTCTACCAGTTTAATTTTAACTGCCAAATCCCAGCCTGGTCTGCTTCCTCTTATCACTCAAGTTCCCCAAAGGCTTCCTTGCCTGCTGGGCTCCAGCAACCTGTGACTTTCAGGTTGTTTCACAATTACAGATATGCAGCTCAGGGATTATCTTGTTACTCTGGGAGGCTTTTGCTTTTTGTGTTTGCAGACAAGTATTTAAGCTTGTATTAAATAATTATCAGCTTTAAACTGACTGGTACTTTGTGGTGGTGTTTGTTGGGGAATGAAAGTCCTGAGCACTGTTTATGAGTAAAATTTGTATTTTTGTTCAAATTTCTGCTAGGGACCTACCAGTTACGTGGGGTCTTCAAACCACAAAAATGAAATAAAATTCACTGTCACCTCCTCCTTCCTCTAGATCCTTTGCTCATCTTGTATTACTTTGGGCTATTAAATACCAACAAAAATTCAGTGCATGTTGGTTTTCAGTGATCCAACTTGTCACAGTATTAGTACCTACCTCCCCGTTCTCACCTGTGACTTGACTGGAGGCTGCAAGATAGGAGTCAGAGCAGCATTTTGGCACAGATTCTGAAACACCGATGTTTCAGAAACTGCAGCAAAAACGTGGTCTGACACACATTACTCAAAAAAAAAAAAAAAATCAAACACGAGTTAAATGAAGGAGAAAGTTATAAGATATAAACTAGGTATAGGAAAAAGATTTCTTTCTGCTTTTTCCTTTTTACCTTTCAGAGGTGAGCAAACTGTAAATTCAGATTAAAGTACTCTCCTGAAAAAAAATCGCTTCATTTTACAGTTTCTCTTTTCCAGTAAGTTGATTTATGTGACTTTCCTGGGAATTTAATTCTCTCTGCCCTCTGTGTGGAAGGACAATTTTGAGGTGAACAAGCACTGATTTAAGGTTTACAGGAAAAGTGTACCATATATAAAGAATTGTTTAGCCCTCATGGGATAGAAATGCTGTTATCCTTTTGATCCTGATGCTTGAAGACATATTCATTGCCAGCCAGGTTCCAAAGAAACCAAACCTTGATCTTGGCTAGGATACTGCATAAACAGGAGCATCGTGGGGAAAGCTTCTCATCCAGTTGTGCCATGCGCAGGGGTGGAGATGAATGGTGTGGATACTCTTGCTCTGGACAGTTTTTCTATCTCCTTCAGCAAAAGAGTGTCACCACTGGGTTAGCCTCCAGGTGACACTGGTGGGATGCTTCAAGCAATAGCTACAAGTTGAAGTACAGATGCTTTAGTTTTCTGTAATTGGAAACAGGCAGCGAATCTGGGACCCATCCTCTAAGCTGTGAATTGGTATTTTGCACTCTTGCTGCTGCACAGAGGTCACGTTTTGGGTAAGGAACGCAGAAAAACAATATAGGCAGCTGGGCACCCTCTGTAGCCATTGTGGTGCTCTGACAATGATACCCTTTACAGACAGTGTTGTTGTAGATTTTGTTCTCCTGCTGTGTTCCTTTTGTAATTGCCAATTAAATAAGTATCTTGGACTCAATTTATCTCTGGTCTAAATTTGTCTGTGTCAGCCAAGGGAAACTGGGGTAGCAGTGCATTTGGCAATGCAGGTGTGTTTTAGGAGCAGCAGACCAATTTAGTTTGCAGAAAAAATATTGACGTGTATGTGGTAAGTTAGCTAATTTTGTCCTCTAGCATCATTTCCTGAAAGAGAAGCAACAGCGTTTATAATTGATTTGATTAAATAATAAATGATACATTCTCTTACTGCAAAGTAGGCAGCATTTCCAGTCTATGGATCTTCTGTGGATATGAATGGAGAGAGTCTAAATAGTACATGACCTGGAGTAGTTATTCCCACCTAAGCACTGCTGCACACCAGAGCAGTGTCAGCAGCTTGAAAAAGAAACTCGAGGTAAATTAAAGTTTGTTCAAAGTTTCTTTTGTCTCTCTTCCATTGATTTATTGCTGAACTTCATAGGACCTTTCTCCAGACCTCCTCATTTCCAGCTGTGGTTTTACAGATGTTTTGTACCTCTCCACAGCACAGCAAAAGGCTCCAGATTTAAAAGTTAAGTGTCACCTTATCAGCAAAAGTTGCAAAGGAGTCCTCCTTAATGGTTTTTCTTTCTTAGTCATTTCAGTAGGCTATAGTAAGTCTAGTATTAAATTAATGCTGGGACCAGTATATAAAAGAATATGCAGTGTATGGATATTTTCAAATCCAGATGTTGATTTTTGATCTCTGAGTTGAGTCCAGAGACACTTTCCCCCAAGAACTGGCTATCTACAGGGCCTCTTCCTAGAGCCAGAGATGAGACTGCTGAGTGCCTGTGCACTTTTGTCCACAGCTGGTATTAAAATAAATGTTTGAGCTTGGAGCTTGATGCTGAAATTACGGCAAGCTCCTCTCCAGGTGCCCAGGAGAACATTATTAAACCTCTGTCTTGTGACTCCTTCGCGTGATGGTAGGTTTGCCAAAAGGCATAAAGCAAGCTGCAGCCCGTATGGCTGGGCAGATGGATTCTGTGCGTCATCAGGTCCCTCTAGAAGTAAAGGCACAACACTAAGGTGACACAGCCCTTGTATCCTTAAACAGTTGACAACTGAAGCAAGACGTGTCTTGTTATGCTTGGTAGCTGCTATCTTGTGTTTCTGTGCAGAGCGGGGAAATGCACTATGGGAGAAGCTGCAGCTGGATGGAGATGGCAAAAGATACATCTGGGTCTGTTGTTAATCCCAGCCCTGGGTCTTCTCCTATCTGTTAGGTGTCTCTTAATGAGCATTCTGCATCATTGGAACGTAGGGTAGACAAAGCACTCCATGATTTCTTAAATGTAATTCAGTTTGCAGGCTCTTTCTCTTTAGGCTTGAGTCATGCTTTGGGTTAACAGCCCATTTAGTTGCGAAGGGCCAGTGAATCCATAGACAGGAACTGTCACCTGGCTCCAGTAGTGCCAGAGCTGCCAGGTCCCACCCTGTGGCCAGTGAGCTCTGCATTGGTTGAGGGCCAGTTCTGCAGAAGCGCCTTGAGGTAATTTTAGACTGAATCTTTAAATCTGAACATAACTCTTGATTGTCAGTTGTTGTGCCCCTTGCTTTGTCCATTCCCTAATGGTGGCCGTGTTGCTGTTTGCAGATGATGGGAAGCTGTCCCTGGAGGAGTTCCAGGCCTTTTTTTCTGATGGGACACTCAACGAAGAAGAACTTGAGAAGCTCTTTCATACCATTGACTCAGACAACACCAAGTAAGTTTCCCTTGCTGACACCCCACTGTTTCCTGGAGCCGTTGGATTGCAGAGTTAGTGTGCACGGGCAGTGCTGCTCCAGAGAGCTAAGCACCACAGAAGCTTCAGGGATGCAACTCACTTTGTAAAACTTTGCAAAATCTCCATTTCTGCTTGGTTTATGTCCTATCATGATGGCCACTATGACTTCTTTTGTCTCCGTGTTTTTTTCAGGCCATTTTCTTTAGTGCAACCTGATCCTGATGGCATCTGAAATGATACTGAGTTTTACCCAGGAGGGCATTTAAATAGCTCTTTAGCTTTTCCACTTTATCTAAAAGGTTTGCTGTGCTATAAGAGGTAACAGTGTGAATCTCTGTAAACATTATGCTACCTAGCTGTTTTACACACAACAAACTGGAACGATCTGTGGTCTTGTCTCTTTGTGATCTCTCTGTATCCCCTGCACTTAGTCCATGCCTGCTTTGCTTCCCGTCCAAAATATCCCCTGGTGCAGTGATCACTCTAGCACTTAATAGAAACAAGCCCCCTCCTCTTCAAGCTGGAATTCAGCTGCAGGGAGGCCAGCCCAAGCCCTGCAGCTGCTGTTGTAGGTGCTTTGCCTCTGTTCTGCTCCCAACAGCCTGATGTGGCTGTACTTCTGTCTGCACAAAGCCTGGGCAAGGCAGCAAGGGGACGGATCCACGAGCAGCACTGCAATGTCTGCATCGCAGCTGCAATAGCAGCAGGGAGAGAAGATGGCAGAGGAGAGATCTAGGCATGCTTTAGTTGAACGTTACATCAAAGTTGAAACTAAATATGGCACCTGATTGCTCTTGCTGAGAATCAAGCTTTTGTAGGCTGCGCCAAGCTATCAAATTAAGGTGACAAACTCGTTAGCTGCTCATGTTTCCTTCCCCTCTGCCTGCCTTCGCAGTGTCTCCTTCAGCACCCCCTCTGACTGCCTTTGCCTTTGGCAGTGTCTGAGGTGTTTGTGAGCTTCCTGACAAGTGTCTGGCACCAACAGCATTCAGGATCAGCACCAAGCTGTGAGGTCTGTGGGGCCCCTTTGGGAGCCGTCCCTGCCAGCAGGTAGTGATGGTGCTGGGCACCAACGCAAAGGACAGCCCACTGGTGGGTTTTCTCCTTCCCAAGAGGAACCCATCTTCAAAAGCCTGAGTAGTTCAGGCTGGCTGGAAATACAAACAAAAGACAGCTTTGAGTCATATTCCAGTGTGACTCTTACTCCTCTAGAGAAAAAATCTGTCCCAAAAGCAGACGAAAACAGAATCCAATTTCAAATGACAAGTCTTGTAGTAAGTGCTTAAAAACATAATAGTCTGGTTAATTATAAAGCTTTCTGACAACAGGTAGATTGAGTCTTGCCTGTGTGAGTGGTGCATGCTTTGCCACACATCCAAAATATCCCCTGGAAAGCAGTGATTGTTCTAGAGTGCGCTGGCACCGAAGCAGAGGATGTAAAACTCATCAGGCTGGTGCAGGGCTGCTGCTGAATACGTTTCTGAAAGCAGAATAAATGTGAAGTCTCTCAAAATCCCGTCTTTCCAATGTGTCTGCTTCCCAAAGTTTATTCCAAGACCAGAAATGCCAAAGACCAGCTTGGTATATACTATTCACTGAATAATTAATCAAATGAACTTAAGTGATCTCGTTACTAAAATTAGCTGGAATGATCTGTCCTTTCTAATGGTTCCTCTTCAATAGACATTAGATGCTGCCTTATGTTTTGTGGGTCTATTTACCAAGCTCCAGGCGATGTTCCCAAGTGGGCTCTCTGTAGACACAGGGACTTGGGTACTCACCTGCCTCTGTTCTGAAATAATTTATAGCATTCTCTGAGCTTATCAACTTTCATCTGGCCTTTGAAAGGATGCAGGCAGTGGATGTGTATGGGGGTTAGTGTGTGGATGTATCTTCTGGCCTTCTTGAAATAGGAAATTTGATTGCAGTCCATTTTTGCTTGGAGATTTTAGAAAATCTGCAACTTGCTCCAAGCCTTAGTAAGGGATGTCTTCTAAACTGTACAGAGTGCCATTTCTAAATGTCATGCAACAGTGCTGCCAGCAAGCAGGGTCTCGCTGAGCAGCTCCTGAGTGTGGCAAGACTTCCTACAATTCAGTTGTATTTTTCTTTGGCCAAGCTGGGTTGATCCAGTCATCAATACCCATTAGGGACTGATACTTGCACAGAGCAGTGTAGCATCTGCTGTTCTTGGCTTGAAGGAAAAGCAACGAGTTGGTCAGTCACTCTTCAAGTTAATCCTTGCATGAAATTGGCACTTGCTTATTGTTTTGGAAAGCACAGACACACACCTACATCAAATTTATCAAGTCGGGGGAAGAAAATATTCCTCTTTTTTTTTTTTTAATCTGCAAGAGCTCTCCATGTCCAGAAAACCTATTTCAGAGCTGGGCTTCCTTCTGCAAAAGTGCTTTTCACCATGAAACAAGTAGTTTGCTTGACTGCAGTCTTGCATCTAGTATAGTCCTTCAAGTCGTGTGTGTGCTTTTCACCTTGCCCTGCCTTTTGCTCTCCTTACAGTAAATCGGTGGGTCTGTGGGAGGTTGGGGAGGAAGGATGCTGCCTCCAGCCTCTGAAATGCCCAGGCACTAGAGTTTCAATTTTGAACACTGCCACCGAGCAAGAGGAGTGGAGCTTTCATTTTTCTATTTTATAGGGGAACTTAGGAACAATATTAACTTTACAAAAGGCTGTTTGAATGATAATTGTTTGCTATTTGATAGAAGTTTATGTATTTTTAAGACTATATTTTGATAGTCAGCTTTATCTTTGTTTTTCTTATATTGCCCATCATGTTTGTTTAGTGTGCAAAACGAAGTTTTCTATTGAAATTACATTATAGCTAGAGTAGAAAATGAAGAAAATGATGTTACTGCTGATTATTAGTAATTGCTGTTACCAGCCAAATTACAAATGTTGATTCAATTTCCTGGAGTATTTTTAGGAGCAGGGAACTGCCTTACTGGAGTAGATAAAATGGATGTACTGGTTTATTGACTTCCTTTAGTCGGGAAGACTATGGAAAAGAGAAAAGTGGGGCAGAAGAGTGGGAAAGTGAGGTAGGTTACGGATGCAGGAGTAGCTGTGCTGCTGTGGGGAGTCAGTCATGATGTGCTGCGGCTGGAGGAGTGCATGCTTCAGTCTTGGGCATCTCAGTCCCCCAGTGAAACACCTCCTTGCCAACAAGGTGCTGTTAGGAGGATGCTGAACAGAAATGAGATACCCCAAAAGAGCCCAGGGGCATTAATGAGGCTTCTTCTTTCTTCTTGACTGCCTGGGAAGTATCTCTAGCAGGTTAATGATGTGGCAGGGTGGGCATGGGCTCCAAACACCTGCCCTGGGGTTTTATTACCAGGTATCTCCATGAATCACCGTGGCAGGGTGCAAGCACTGTGCTGTAAGTCCCATCATCACTGGTTATTTCATCTGACAGCAGGAACGTGCGAAATGTGTCATGTATTTCACTTGTTTTTTTGGCAAAATTATATTCATAAACCTGCTGTTGCTTAAAAACGATGATCAAGTGGTGTTTTTCTCACCATTGCTCACACTGGCTGCCCTCCTTCCCTCCTCCCAATTGAAGCAGGAGGCAAAAGCAAGGCGTTGCTAGGTGGCTTTTACTATTGGTTTTAGCTGCTATTTCAGGACATTTCAGCAATGCTTTATGGGGAGCTGCCTGAAGATTAATGGGGAGGTAATGATATGTTACTATTAATATCAAGGCTACTGGAATCACACAAATTGTGTGTATGATAAGTAGACACACATTTTTAAATATATATATATATAAATAAATATATTTGGTTTAGTGGCAGAACAGGGCTTTAGAAAACTAGATTAATGTTCATCTGGGAAATGTTATATTTGCAGAGTTATCTACACCTTTTCTTACTTTTACTAATGATATGTAATAATTTTGAAAGGAAAAAGTCATTGCAAATGGAAGTCAAACAAGTTTTCGGGTCACCAACGACCAGATGAAACCCTTTAAAAATGGTACTGTGATACTGGATGAAACTTGCTTTGTCCCATCCACAGTTCCCATCTTCTTGCAGCATCCTGGCTTCTACCTGCCCTGCATCCTCTCGGACGGAAGGAGAACCTCTCAGTCCTTGTGAAAGCAGGGAGAGGTCAGGCATGGCTGTTGACAAAAGAGATTTAGTCCTGGAAGGGGATTTTAAAAATCCCTTTTCTATCCTGTACATTTTTCAGGGCTGCAGACGACAATCCTTTGGGGAGAGATCTGCTCACTGGAGCAGGACTTCTCCGATGAGCTGTACATGTCCATTCACAAGGAGCCAAGAACATGGCATTAGCATTCTGCTGCTCTGTCATTTGTTATCTCTTCGCTAGGCTTATAGCTATTCTTTTAATTGCTTTATTTCCCCCCTATCTGCGTCTAAATGAGCTCTTCTCTCCAGTGACAAACACTAGAAAAGGTTGGAGCGTGCATGTAGGATAATTAACAGAAGTGATATCTGCTCTCAGAAGCCCTTCACCGCTTTCCCAGACTGTCATTTTTGCTGGAGGTTTGTGAAAAATGAGGAACTGAAGGCACTTGGGTTCTCCAGCCTGTACGGCACCCGTGCCACCCGCACAGCATGCCCCCTCCTGCCCTTCATGGCAGTTACCCAGGGCAGTAGTCCAGAGGGGCAGTGAGCGGGGATGGATGGGGAAATTTGACACACACACCTTCGGATGCTGAATAACATTCTCAGAAACATGAAGCCACCTTCCTGCCCTGCTCCCTCAGCTGCTCAGACACCACAGCGACCTGTAACCTGGGGTCGCTTTGGGGTGCAGGGATGTAGTGGGGTACGGTCAGGGCTGCTACCAACCCGAGTGCTGTGTTGCACCCCAGAGCGGGGGACGCATGGCTGTTCAGGGCCACCCCAGAAGCAGGTAACGGTGCTGATGAGCTGCTCTGCCTAATTAGTCCCACTGCAAAGCCGAGGTATCAACCCGAGAGCGGAGCTGGC